ATATATATATATATATAATAGGATAAGTATATGTGTAATACACATATTTATATAAGATATATGTATATATATATATATATAATAGAATAATATATGTAATAAGACTCTATATATATATATATATATATTTTTTTTTTTTTTAAACAGGTCTTCACACGATCCAAAGTTTGAGGACTGGTTCTGTAAAGACCAGCTTTTTATGTCTTGGCTACTTAACTCCATGGAACCTCAAGTGGTTAAGATTTTTATCTTTTCAGGTTCCGCACATCATTTTTGGGAATCTGTGAAAGAAATGTATGCGCAACAAAACAATGCTGCTAGGATTTTTAAGTTAAAGAAAGATATTGCTGGGTGTTATCAAGATGGGAAACCAATCATTGAGCATCTTGGGAAGCTTAAGAGCATGTGGAATGAGCTATCTCTTCATAGACCTCATACTACAGACAGTGGCGGAGCCAGGAATTTATGTGTTGGGGGGCCAATATATAAACCAAACAAGACATCAAAAAATTTCAAATTTTCAACCTTAACAATGTTTGGAAAAATTAAAGGCAAAAAATAATTGTTTATTCAATTAGGTATCAAAATAACACTCGTCGTTCTTTCATATCTCGAAAACCATCTATGATTGAGTCAACGCTAAACTTTTCTGCAATTTCCCTTTCGATGTACATAATCAAAGAGTCTGTGAGAAATTCGTCTTCCATCTTGTTACGGAGCCTAGTTTTTACTATACGCATAGCAGAAAATGATCGCTCTGCAGTTGCTGTAGAAACAGGAAGAGTAAGCACAAGAACAACCACTCTATAAACAAGTGGATATGTCGTTGATCTTCTAGTCGTTACCATCCATTGAGATAGATCAGAAATTGTTGACAAGTTTTTGAACTCTGGAAGTCTAACGACGTCACTCTCAAAATGTTGAAGTTGTCTTCTCAAACCTATCTTCTCATGATCTTCAAAGTCTTGTGGATAGAACTTATCTACCAATTGACAAATATCATCAATCCTAAAAGATTTATTCACTTCACGAGGATCCAAAGCCGACCCCATAATAAGCAGCTCTGTTGTTTGATCACTAAATCTGCTATTTAATTCTTGAAGTTGAGAATCTATTGTAGCATAAAAAATATCTATCATATAATAATGCTTAATCGTAAAATCATCTTGTTGATGGCGAGCTCTACCTCGTCTTGCAACATAACGAGCATTCATATCTAGTATATCTATGTTCCGTGCTTCACAAAAAGAATTCACCTTGGTAAGCAAAGAATCCCATCCATCATCTCTTAATTCTTGGATGAGTGCTTTAGTGGAAGAAACAAGATTCATGGCATTTATGATGTCTTGGGATTGACATTGCAAAGCTTGACAAAGATCATTAGTGATCTCCATAACTTCTTTCATTAGATGTAAGATAAAGACAAATTCATATGAAGTCATTGCCTCATAAGCCGCATCAACATCTCCTCGTTGAGAATAAGTAGTTCCGTTATCAATTATATTAATTAGAACTATGCATGTTGCACTAAACATATTTACCAAGCTAGTAATTGATTTCAAATGAGAACCCCAACGAGTATCACCAGCACGTTGTAAGGTGCCAATTTGGTTCATTCCTTTCCCAGTCTCGAGCTCATCAATTGCAATCATGTGCTCAATTTCAGCAGCTTGAGCATTTTTCAGTTCATCATTACGCTTGCATGAAGCACCAACAATATTGACAATAGAAGTCAATTTAGTGAAAAAGTGGTGAACATGAATAACTTCTCTTGATGATGCAATTAATGCCAATTGTAATCGATGTGCTAAACAATGAACATAGTAAGCATATGGGCAATCATTCAAAATCAAAGCTTGTAACCCATTCCATTCACCTCGCATGTTACTTGCACCATCATATCCTTGTCCTATAATATTTTGAATATTTAGTGAATTATGAGATAATATAGAGTATATACCTTTTTTCAGAGTTAATGCCTCAGTGTCTCACACATGAACAAGCCCAAAAAAGCGCTCCTGAATAAGACCTTCTTTGTCAACAAATCGCAACACTATAGCCATTTGCTCTCTCTTGGATTCATCACGCGCTTCATCAACAATTATACAAAACTTTGATTCCCCAATTTCTTCACAGATTGCTTTCTTCACTTTAGTTGAAAAAACATGTAAAATTTCTTTTTGGATCTGTGGTGATGTGTAAGAGGCATTTTTGGGAGCTTTATCTAAGATAACTCCAGCAACTTTTTCATTATATGCAGCCAATATTTCTAACATTTGAAGAAAATTTCCACGATTGATTGAATTCTTTTTTTCATCATGGCCTCTAAAAGCACATCCTTGGAATGCAAGCCACCTGACTGCTTCAATTGTTGCCTTAAGTCGTAGTCGATTGTCTGCAATTTGTTGGGAAGAATAATTCTCAACGACTTTCTGTATATGCTGGGATTGATTCATCAAATCCAAACATGATATTTCAGCAATCTTATGGGGGGAGTTAGGATCTTTCCCCTCGTGATTTAGAAAAGAACAATTTTTTCCATCTCTAACTTTCTTCCAACTTTGAAATCCCTCAAGAGTGAAAGCATTTTTTCCAGAATGTCCAGATGGTTTGTTAAAAAGATAGCACGGTAGACAAAAAGCTGCATCTTTCACAGGTGAATATTCTAACCACGAAGGAAATAATTTGAACCATGAACTTTGAAAGCTACGCTGATGAGTTACTGATCCAGATTTTGGATACTTGGAAAGTATAGGTTGGTATGGACCGACGTTAATGTAAGCTCGTCGAATTTCGTCACGTTGATTAACAGGATAATTCCATATTTGCGGACGTAGCCCTGGGTCGCGCTCTAAAGTACTAATATCAACTTCATTATCAATAGTCTCAATTCTTGGAGATCCAGAACGATTTTCATATGCTATTGTCTCAATATTATAATCAGGTACAGATGAGGTAACTTCAATATGTTTTCTTTTGAAAAATCCATCAATTTTAGGTTGTCTCTTCATCTACAAACCAATTACAAATTTTATTAAGGACATGATAAATTATACCACAAACCAAAATAAAAAAATAAAATCATGTTCTATGCATAGAACATATACAAATATATTATCATAAAAAGTAAATAAACAAAGGAAAAAAAAAATTAACTGTAAAGTTATCTAACCTGGAATTAGAAATTCTGAAGTAGGAGGTTGGAGAGCAAACTACCAAATTCAATTATTTTCTTTTGTTGTGTGCGGTTGCTTCGAACTAAGTTCATGTTGCTTTGTATAGGAACAAAAATTAAAATCCCAATCCTTTTTTATTTGGGTAAAAGTCTATTTCCTATTTGATAAAGGAAATTTTTTGAAACTTTATTTGATTGACTGTTTTAACTTTTTTTATTAATATATTGATGGACATGAGATTCTACTTTTTAAAAAACCAAAACTGGCGTGAGGATAGAAACATTCACAACCTTCAATCAAGTGGCAAGTGGTTATTATTATATATATATTTAATTGGAAAGAGAAACACATCTTGAGGGGGCCACAAGCAAAATTATCATATTTACTTTCTAAAATCTATAGGAACAGAAGACCACAAATCAAATATTATGAAACTTTTGGGGGGGCCCAGGCCCCTTCAGGCCCTCATATAGCTCCGCCACTGACTACAGATTCTACTACTCCTCTAAAACGAGCAGAGGAGGATAAAAAATTTCAGCCTTAGCAAGTTTAGATCAAGAATATGAAGATCTTCATAGTCATATATTGATGAGTGCTGAGATACCTTCTTTGAACAACGTGTGCACAACAATACATCAAGAAGAAATCAGGAAGAAAGTCATACATGGAAACGAAAACAGATCCTGAAAGTTCAGATTCTCGTGCATTTGTGGCTAGTTCCAAAATGTCAGAAAGCAAGTCTTTCAAAATTAAGAAACTAAATATTACTTGCAGTTATTGTGGGCTAAAGAAGCACACCAGGGATAGATGTTGGGTTCTCCATCCACATTTGAAGCCTAAATTTAGCAAAGATAAACGTTAACAAAATTTTGAAGCCAATGTTGCTGTGTGTTCTAATTCTGTACCCAATGATATCATGGCAAATTTCACATCAAATCCTTCTGCCTTGCTTGGTCAATTTGCTACTTATCTTCAACAACATGGTTCATCTGGAAATATAACTCACTACTACAAAAAATGCCAAAGACGACGGGAATTCACCGTCGTGTATTTGGTTTTCAAACCGTCGTGAAATCGACTGCCGTCATTTGGGTTTCAAACTACGACGGCTTTTCACCGTCGTTGTTTATCTATAAAAACGACGGTTTTTAAAGAAAATTTTCGTTGTTTAGAGGTAAAGATCGTTAATTATAGGAGGAAAGACGACTGTTTTTAATAAAACCGTCGTGCATTGTACGTAAAGATGACGATTTTTTTTATGAAAACCGTCGTGGATTGTTTATAAAAACATCATCTTTACATACAATAGACGACCTTTTTTTTTATAAAAAGCGTCATCTTTACGTACAATAGACGACGCTTTTTTATAAAAAGTATCATCTTTACGTACATTATACGGCGGTTTTTTTTATAAAAAGCGTCATCTTGACGTACAATAGATGAAGATTTTTTTTATATAAAAAGCGTCATCTTTAAGTACAATAGACGACGGTTTTTTTTTATAAAAAACATCATCTTTACGTACAATAGACGACAGTTTTAATAAAAAAACGTCATCTTTACATACAATAGACGACGGTTTTTATAAAAAAGCGTCATCTTTACGTACAATAATGCTTTTTGATTTCCTATGATGCTATACGATGATTTTAACTAGAAAACCAACCATAATGCTTTATCAAAAATAGTTTCTTTCATAAAACTTGAAGATTCAATAGTTATTACATAGTTAACCAATCTTTACTCTACAACAAACATAATTCCTAACAAGACCTACGTACTCCTAATCCAAGCATTCCTCATCCAAACATACAAATGATGCACAGCTGAAGTCTCCTCCATCATCCCTGTAAATAAATCAAAATGACAAAGAGAGAAAAAAAAAGAAGAAGCTAAGATTATAAACATAAAAAATTAGGTGGAAGAGAAATTTTACCATTGGTCCATATTTCCATAGAAAACTTGTAAAATGAGCATAAAAAAGACCATCGAGAATTTGTAAATTTTCAACAACAAAAAAATATACGACTCACATAGAAAACCTGCAAAAGAAAAAGTTATAAATCTGCAAGCTTCCTCCTCATCTCCTGATAACCAAATCAGAAAATCTAAAAAGAAACCAAAAAAAAAAAATATGTAAACAAATCAGACAAATCAAGAGAGACAAAATCTGAAATTAGGGAGACAAAAAACATAACAAAAACGCAAAGTGACTAATCCAGAATTCACTAGCAAGATATAGAAGGGTATTAAGAGATTAGGTGACTTTCAAATCAAACCTTTCAACCAGCTTTGATTCTCAAATACAGAACATCCCTCTACATCTTATGGATTTGCTAAGACCTCAATCTCTCAACTCCTTTATTGATATCGATTTTTTGATGATTTTGTAGAGAGTTTCATGAGGGTGTTTTAGAGAGTGCAGGAAGGAGGGAGAGATAAGGTTTTCAGAGACGGGGGAAAATCTGAAAATTTGTTGAGCGCGAATTCAGTTAAGTAGACTTTTTTTAGCGTGTTTTAAAAGACGACGCTTGTTAACGAGAGATAAGATTTTCAAAGACGGGTGAAAATTTGAAATTTGTCAAGCGCGAATTCACTAAGCGGCTGTTTTTTAGCGTGTTTTAAAAGACGATGCTTTTTTTTAAAAAAAAAATTGTCATCTTTACATATAATAGACGACGGTTTTTATAAAAAGCGTCATCTTTAAATACAATAGACGACGGTTTTTAATAAAATGCGTCATCTTTACATATAATAGACGACGGTTTTATAAAAAGCATCATCTTTACATACAATAGACGATTTTTTACTGCTACACTCCTTGACCTTATATGAATACAATGACTGAATTTGATCTTTAATTTAAAATATTTACACTAGTGGATACCACAAAATCTTATGTTATATTTAACGAAAGTATAAATATACTCTTAATTGTTAGTGAATATTTTTTTTATGGCATACGCATTTTAAGAAACTAGTTTCAACGATCCAACTGTCAAAATTGTTTATTTATACTTCAAGATCATATACGCCAAAAATCGAAAAAAATAAACACTCAGAGATCAAGTAACGAGACAAAAAAATTTGACGGTTATAAATAAAAAATCATGATTTAACGGTTATTTTAACTCTGATTTTGATGATTTTTTACCGCTACACTTCTTGACCCTATATGAATACAATGATTGAATTTGATCTTCAATTTAAAATATTTACACTAGTGGATAC